GGGGGGGGTACCATTTTGTGACTTTATTTTACTCACAATCTGGTCCTGTGACATTGAGGTAGGGTATATCAATTATCCTCATAAGGAAGAGCCTGTGGAACACAAATAATTAAAATACAATTTTAAATACAATGACCTTCAGAGATTTCATGAAGTAACCAATAAAGTCAGTCTTACTTGTTGAAGAAGGGTTCAATGAGTTTGGACCGGGCAGAGATGAAAGATTTTGGTGGTGTCAAGAAAGAACCTTTAAAGAGGAAAATCACCAAGTTCAAACATAAATTTGAATAAAAAAAAAATACAGACTGGTAATTCATAGACAACATGACTTAAATGCCACATCATCATTAGAACTGTGGCCACGACTCCCAGGGATGCACCGATCCACTTTTTTTTACTTCAGATCCGATCCCGATACCTACGTCTGAATATCGTCCGATACCGATCCAGTTCCGATATCATGATCATCATTGATTTTATATGAGGCAGTAATAATCTCCTCTCAAGTACAATTTGTACAAATATATTCATGCATGTCCAAAAAGGCAAATTGAGGTAAGTTGTATTAATGTTGGATAAGTTTCAAAGTTAGAATTAAATTCTAACACAAAACGTGTTTTTTTTTATTTTTATTCCTAGTTTTAAAGTGGATATTAAAGTGATTAATTTAAGTGATTGTTTAAAGTTATTTTATATATTTTTTTTAAATAAGGGGCAGATATAAGAATTTTTTTTCTTCTTTCTGCACTCTTTTCATTCAATATTTTCTTTTTGATTATTTTTTTTATTGTTTCTTTTAAATGAATAAATGAATTAAATAAAATGTTAAATGGCTTCAAACATCTGCTACATTCATGGCATAAACCAACAGACATGTTCCTGTTTTTAGTATTTTACATCACTTTATAATGTAGCCGTTTGTTTTTAATATATATAATTTTCAAATATGTTTTTTATGATTGTTTATTGTACTGATAAATATCTCCTGGAGGGTAAACTATATCTTGGCTGCAAGTATCAAGCTGTGAAATCCTTCATTTTCTACAACTGATAGTGGTTGGTCATTAATTATGAAGTTTAGCAACTTCTCTGTAAACATTTGAGCTCCGTGGTTTCAGCGATGTCTTCTTCTTGTTCAATCCGAAGCAGGCAGCCTGATTTGGGGCAGCCGCTCAGTCTGTCCCTCCTCAGAGACGGGCAGACTGAGCAGGGCAGATTGGACGCGGCTGACCGGGGTCGAGTTGGCCGCCCCGGGTTGAGCAAAGAGCAGCGCCCCGCTGAAGCCACGGAGCTCGAACGTCCATCATAAAACTAACTTTAACGTGGTTTAATGTGGCGCTATGGCTCTGCAGACATTGCACGTTGCTGCATTGCTTTGTGGTGTTTCTAGTGTAAAATACTTCCACACAGCAGACATGTTTGATGAAAAGTTGGTTAGCCGTTAGCCACAGTGCTGATAACTCAGTCCTCACGTTGTAGCTGGCTGCAAACTATGAAATGGATTTCCTGAATGTGAGGTGGGTCTTATTAATCTGGGTTCATGAGACATGCCGCCGTTCATGAAATCCATTCCATAGTTTGAAGCAAACATGAATCATGGATCGGCAGGAGGATCGGAAAATCCAATACGTAAATTATGCTGGTATCGGAGGCGGATACGGATACTGGATCAGATCGGCCCCATCCCTAGCCACGACACTTGAAGGTCCCAAAGTTCTCTTGATTTTGGGAGAACTCAGGATTCAAAATTCAAAGTCTGTCCCCAAAACGCCGCCCACATCATCACAGAAGAAACGATGAAATGTTTCAGGTTTGTCTGAAGCACCAGTTGTAGCAGTGAGAGTCCATCTTACCCAGATGGTTGGCCATGGAGATGAAACACAGACCGGTGATGTAGGCATCATATCCTGCCTCATGGAGCTGCTCCTGGGCTGTGTCATAACTGAGGAACCCCTCTGCAGTTTCTGACAAAAGCAGTACAGAAGAAAAAATAACAACAAAATAAATAAGGGTTCACAGTTTGTTCTTGGGTTAAGGCAGGCGTGTTTAATCCTGGTCATCGAGGGTCACTATCCTGCATATTTTACTTGTCTCCCTGCTCCAACACACCTAGATTTAATTGTTAAATATGTTAGGGAATTTTTGGTCATAGGTTTTGGATGTTATTATTACTATGGCTGAGAACCTGAACTCTGCCCATAGACCATTTGTTTGGGTTAAGAGAGCTGGATGAGGAGCTGAGCGGGGTTGCAACGTGCAGCGGGCTCCAAGGACACCTCCGAGTCTGTAAGCTTGGCTGAACTGATAAGAGTATAGAAACAAGCTGAGCAGACAGCTGTGGCAGATTCTCGTGACCGGTCTTCATGTGTACTTTATGTATATTTAGGTAACCTGTCCTGAAAATCTGACCTAGCAAATAAATGCCAGTTAAAAATACCCAAGTTCATGCTCAATAATCCAGGTAAAAAAAATCCAACAATGTTCAGTCAGGTCATCTGGATGGTTTCTTTTCTTTTGTTGTTGCTGAAACTCGGCATCACGATAACAAATTTTGCTGGGCGATTGTCTCAGAAATTATTGTGATAAATGATAACATTGTTTGAAATTTCACAATAATTTGTAATTACTGTCAAATTTAAGAAGAAATGTTTGTCAATTTGTTTTGCATGTAGTACCTTTTTTCGACCACCAGATGGCAGTATAAGACTGTTTGAATTGAACCGAAGGCTGGATAGTGAGGCAGTGAGCAGCGTGTCTCTTTAAGAAAAGTGGGAGGGAGGCCCCTTGATGTGACATGGGCTGTCTCTCCTTCCTTTCTTTGGTTCTCAAAAAGGCGGCCACTCTGTGTGGTTTGAGCTCTTTAGAATAGCATTTTTCACACAAAGCTTTTAATAATTAAAAAAAAATCCATAAAAAAATCCTTAGCTTCTTTTTGCTGAGAAAATCTTTTTACACAAAGGCACGAGTTTCAGCCGTGAATTTTGGTGCTTCGACGAGACGGAGCACCCCCCCCCCCCCACGTCAAGGTTTAGCAAATCAAGCAAACTTGTATATTTACTAACCAACTTGTGGCGGCTTGAAAGGACTCTCCTTCAGTTGTTTCTCCAGCTCTGCCAGAGATGTGTTAGTGATCAGCTCCTGTAGCACAACCAGCAGAAACAAAATGTCATTATTACCCAGTGGTTTGATCAATTTGAGACTGAAACTGAACAGATGCTTGATGTGATCAGAGGGCTTCACGTATTCAAGTTCCACATGTCAAGGTCAAATGGAATGAGACAGCACTGCGCTACAATAAAGGTTGGCTCATGTGGGGATTAGGGTCACTGTTTTGACAAATCAAACGACGACACACGCAACGAACGCTGACTAGTCACACACATCTTGATTAATGCTGCCCAAACAAAAAAAAACAAAAACAAAAACACCACACAGGAAAAGACTCTGCAGGCTGGGTTTTTGCAGACTTCTTACGTTATGAGCATATATAGCACTTTGGTAACAGCTGCCATTTTAAAATGTGCTTTATAAAGAAATTTGACTTGACTTATTATTTTTATAGCAATAATGTTGAGTAGAGAGAGACTGTAGGATGTGCTGCATCTTAAACCCAAGAATAAATGGCAATGTCACAATGCTGATGTCGCACTTTGCTCGCATCAGGATCAATGCATTAGTATAATCTGATTTAAGATTTTTGAGGCAAACGCATTCTAATGTTGAAAATTTTACCTTAAATGGTTGTGTGGAAGCCATCAGTTTTGTGTCTAAAAGTCTGAAAATAAATCAAAGAACATGTTAGAAAATACAAACTCATGAGGAATTTGTTGTGGCAACCAAAAAACAAACACTAGCAGTACCTTGGGAAAACGCACATCGTAACCTCTTTAAAGTCTTGAAGATCCTGGACAAAGGAGAACTGCCGTTACTAAATCTTACACAAACCACTATGATTTGCTGAAACTTTTCACACTTTACATCTTTGTTGTACCTGAGGCAGAGCGCAGTAGAACTGGTGGACTGTGTGCATCACATCTAAAAGCATGTTGTGGCCAACCACGAGTTTACCCTGAGTGTCAAACACACATGAAATACATATAAAGCTACGAACTAAAACCAGTTCAGAGCATCTTGGAATAAATATTTAGATTTTTGGCAACTGCTTGCTGATTTTATTTTATTTATTTGATTAATACTTTTAAAAGAAGAACATGTTTAAACATAAGGAATCAAAGTAAGCGTACGACTCACCGATTTAGAAATGGCATGGATGACTCTGGAGAAGCCAACAGCATCATTTAACTCCTCCTGTTGGGGAAAAACAAAAACAAACAAACGGCAGATAATGTTAAAATGAAACAATGAAGAAAAAAAATCTAACATGGTCTAACTTCATTCAGGAGACCAAACCAACATTTCCTAACTTCATTACATTCTCAAAAGTTCAACAATAAGTCACACCTTTTTGCATAAATTTGCAAGTCCTGTGACTTATACACAGAAGTAACTAATATATATTTCTCCCCATATTTATAACCCAGTTTTTGGCTGAGAGCTGACGATTTCATTCATTCTGACAAGGAAAATATTGAAAACTACTATTTTCAGCCGCTAGAGAACCCTCGACTAACATGGTAAGCCAAGTGTCTCATTAATAAGTAAAAGTGGCTATTAATGAGACACTTGGCTTGCCATACATACCACCTTCATCTCGCTGCAGAACTCCTGGAGCAAACGTCAAATCGGCTGCATCTCACCGCGCTGCCCAGGTGAAATGCAGCCGATTTAACCAGTGCATTTATTAAGAAAAGTTAAACTGAGACACACCTTTACTATGATATCAAGCAAACAAATTGTTTTTAGGTGTTAATCTTGTTCAATTTCGACAAAATGCACAGCGAGTCCTGACTCTGTGCACTCCTGCTTCCACGAATCAATTTTTGAAATGCAGCTAATTTGACCATTAAAGCGCATTTATTAAGAAAAGTTCAACTGAGACACACATTTACTATAATGTCGAGCAAACGAATAATTGTTTTTAAGTGTTAATCTTGTTAAATTCTGATTAAAGTCCTCCCATGCATGCTTCTGCAGCCGCCATTTGGCAGCTAATCGAATTTTGGCTCAACACCGGCCCACATTTCCAGGTCGCCAGCGGTGACGCATAATAGATGTGACGTGTTTATGTCGTTTCCCCACTTTAGACATTTTTGGACTGATGCGACTTATACGGCATGTAGATGCTTTGATCAAACTCACCTGCTCTCTCTCCAGTTTCTGCTGTTCCCTCTTCTTTTTCTCCTCTTCATCAACTTTACTGATCTGAATGTATCGCTCCTTCTGCACACACAAGTCAATTGTATCGCTAGCTTGAAACAAATGTGTGTGTGGAAAACGTTGAAGTTAAAAATGCTACCTTTTCTGTTTCCAAGGTTTCCACATGAAGACCTTTGGCAAACCTATCAGTGCAAAAGTCATTTTAGTCTACGACCACACACCAATGTGAACAACAAAATAAAAGCATTAGGCATCACTCACTTCCAGTTCAGTGTCTGGTATATCAGCTTTCTCTGGAAACTGGAGAGAGAATAAAACTTACATTTGACCAATAAAAACCAAACATCCAGGCTTGATGTGACTTTGTGAAAGAAAGACCAGGATTACCCAGTACATGGCTCCAAGTCCAAAGTCTTTTCATCGTTACTGATGAGCCGCTCAACCTTTTCACTGTTGTAGAAACAGAACAACAGTTGGGAAACAGAAGGGGGCAAGAACTGAATTAATTTAAAGAGCTCCTTTTTCAAGTTCAAGTCAACTTTGTCATGTGAGCCACATGTGGTACATAAGGTGGAATGAAATTATGTACACAGGGTCCCAGTTACACCTAAAAATAGCAAAACAAAGTAAAAATAAATAAAAAAATCAGTAAATAAGGATAAGATATACACCAAGATATAAGTTAAACGCCAAACGGTACGCTAAAAGATTTAAAAAAAAAAAAAAAACAGCCCAACATCAGCTATTCCATCCTTAAGCAGCAAAGCAGTGCTCAAACACTTACACCACTTTATTAATGAAGTCTTTCTGTTCATCAGGCACGTGTGCTGGGATTTTGGAGGATGATGGGGAGATAAACGGAGTCCCTAAACCATTGGCCTGTTGATTTCTCCTTTCCTCCGTCTGCTCTCTCAGCTGAGCTTCCTCCTCCTGATTTAGGTATGGGATGCCTGGGGAGAGGAAAAAAATGGTATCAGAAAAAGTACATTTTTTCACTATTTGTATACATTAAATGTTTGTTTTATTATTTTCCCCAGAAATCTTTTCTTTGCCTCACAGATTAAAAACTCTGAAATAAAAATATGTTTGATTACATTGGTAAAAAAAAAAAAAATTGAAAATGCATTTTAAAATATGAACCTGAACTCAAAACTAGAATTGTGTCGCAATAAAATTAATCCTACCATAATTAAACAACAAAAGAAAATCCACCACATTACTAGTTTTGAAACATTTTAATAACTAGGACAAATTTATTCAATTTAAGATAATTGTTGAGGTTTAATATAAATAAAACTGCTTTAATTTCTGTGTGAGGCTTGTTCTTCCTTTTTTTTTGAATTGTCTGACATTTGGCATTTTGTGGCAAAGGTGCAGAATACATTTCACATAAACGGTAATCCTTTTCTTTACTCACCATGACAGAACACTTTGTTGAAGTCAAACCCCTGACTGGCGAGGAAGTCAATACTGGAACTCTGAAACAACAAAAGGTGAGTCTCTTCATGCGCTTCAGTTTAAGGCTCAGAGGGGGGGGGGGGGGACATGTAAAACATTTTAATAAAGAATAAAACAAGAAAATTATTCAAGCATACAAGTAATTTAAATGACTTGTTTACAATGAAACAAGTCAATGAAGCCACACTTACTTGACAGATAAACTTTATATCTGGAGATGTCCTATTAAATGGTTTTGGGAATATATAAAAATTAAAAGGCTTTATGATATACCTGCAAGAAAAAGAAAATGAAGAGATGAGTACCAACGTTCAAGGTCCACAGTTTCTTTTACAATACCTTGAACAAAAACAAACAAACAAAAAACCACAAGCCAATCTATACTTTACAAAGAAAACTATGGGCTGAACCTTCGTTTAGCCCAAAGTAATTGAACACGTTCAACGTTTATACACGACGAGGCCGTTCATTAACGGACAAGAAGAAACGTGTATGCTAAATTAATAAACTGCATTGATTTTACAGTTGAGGTGTGATTACAAGTTACTGAAAAATATGCAGCTTTTCAGATGCTTTGTCTTACTATTGCTTTGATGATGCACGTCTTCAAGTAAATTTAAATATGCACAAAAGCTTTCCTATAGAACCACAAAGCAACTGTTGTTCTTCAAGGGTCGCCACAGCCAGTCATTCTCTTCCATCTTACCGTGTCCTCACTCCAACTACCTCCATGTCTTCTCTAACTGCATCTATACATCTCTTTGGTCTTCCTCTTTATCTTGGCAGCTGCATTTTTAATATCCTTCTATCAATATATCCTCTGGACATGTCCAAACCATCTCAGTCTGGCCTCCCTAACTTTATCTCCCAGTTGTTCAACCTGTGCTGTACCTCTGATGATCTCATTCCTTATCTTATCCATCCTTGTCACTCCTGAGGAGAACCTCAACATCTTCAGCTCTGCCACTTCCAGTTCTTTCTCATGTTTTTTTATCCTCCAATGCCTTCGTCCCCATACATCGGAAATCTGACAAGTCTTGTTAACATTTCTTTGCTGCCACTCTTTAATCCAAAATCACTTCCAAATCTTTCTCCATCCACCCCATCCTGCCTGGATTCTCTTCGCCTCTTTACCACACTCCTTGTGTTCATGAACAGTTGACTGTAGATCCTTGAACCCCTGCACCTTTGTGACCGCACTGTAATTTATCTCAATAAGAACGCTTATGTAAATTATTAACAAATATAACCTTAAATACAAAACTTACATTTAACACAAATCCAGAGGCCATGAATGTTGTACCTTGCTCAGTTCGAACTAAAAAAGTTTAATTCAATTCAGTTCAGTTTATTTATATAGCGCCATGTCACAATAGAAGTCGTCTCAGGGCACTGAACAGAAGCGTTCATATATATAAAACTAAGTTAATAACATTATATATCTGAGGAGCAGACTGCTTTGAATTTAACTTCGTCGCAGAATATCTAGAATCAGGGGAACATCACGTTAAGAAAAAAATTGTATCAAATGAAAACTATTCATTTGCAAACATTCATTTAAAAAAATTAGGTACATTTGTTCTCCAGTAGTCTGAGTCTATGGCAGAATAACAAGCCAACCCTAACTCTAACATTTATCAAAAAGTAAAGTCTTAATCCCAGTCTTAAAACTGGACAATGTGTCAGCCTCACGGACAGAAACTGGAAGTTGGTTCCAGAAGAGAGGAGCCTGAGAACTGAAAGATCTGCCTCCCATTCTGCTTTTGGAAACTCTAGGAACCACCAGTAAACCTGCAGTCTGAGAGTTCGGCTGGTAAGTTTCATGCATGAGATTTCCAAGTGTCTTATCAATACATAAATCACTCACTTTGACTTTGTCTGGTCATACTTAAATGTACATAATCCAAACTGGAACATGAGGAAGTCCATAGAATGCTGTTAGGAGTTAAAAAAAAAAAAAAAAAAAAAAAAAAGTGTGAGAATACATTTACAGTAAACAGGATAATGTGTATAAAAACATTGCAAGTTTTTTTGATGAACCTTTTTAAGCTTCGTGTATCGCTCCTCCGGTGTATCCAGCCCGTTGGTTAGCGCGCTAACATTGGGACCGTCGCTTATCCCTGAAAACAGAAATAAAAATCAAAAACACGTTATTTTACAGTCATGGCGGTGGCTCTTTTTAAAACCACACGTCTGCTAAGACTGAGCTACGTTTACCTGAAAATTCCCCATCGATGGCAAGAAAGTCAGCCTCGTCTATGGCGCTGCACACCGTGCTCAAACTGTCTTTAAAATCTGGAAACAGATCAATCAAGATTAGCATGGTCGCGTGCTGAACTCAAAGGAGCGGCTATGCTAACCTAGCATGCTCGCTAATAGCCCAGACACGAAGCAGTGTCCGTCGCTAGTCTTCTCCGTTTTTAAATATATATCCCTGCTGCAGATTGTTGTCATTTATACAGAAAGCTGCAAAATGATTGAATGCACAAGATGTCTGGGTTCTTACTTTGGCGTGTTACCTCCATCCCTGCACAATGACGGACCGGGCTGACAGCTAACCCCAGCTAGCCGGAAACAAGTGGCTTTTAACCTTTTGACAAACACTTCCTGTGCGTCGCTCAAATCTGTGACCCCAACAAGGTTTTATTTTATCTTATCTGTATCATTCATATTCATGAACCTTTTTAAGAATCACAAAATAACTATTATTTATAAAGGTTTTTG